CCCCCTGAGACGGGTCACACCGCCTGCGAGGACGCTGGGCATGCTTCCCAGTCCAAGTCTCTTGTAAGTTATCATTGGCTCAAGGTGTGATGACTTTCAGGCATCAATTAATATAAATTGGAAGCAGGCAAAGTATTAATTAAACATGACACTCTGATTATTTAAACCTTCTATTACAGTTGATTATTCATAGCATGTTGATAACCTGCTCTTCAAAAATGACTGATGATGTCGAGCTGTACTGAGTTCCTCTAGGACTACTATTTCTAACTCTTTAGAACAGAAGGAATAAATGAAGTGAGAAGAACATTGGAACAAGTCTAATAGACAAACCAACTAATCTCAGACCCCCAAGGTCAAAGAAAAGCAATTCATTTCTTGGCTCTCATCAACACAAGACATGATTTATCAATCTTGGAGCTGGATCACAAACATTATACATCTCAATGATACGTTCTTTGCACTGTGTAACTTTTTGAACGATGATAGATCACATAGTCACCACAAAAGGAATGTCATAAAGGCAAAACTCATTAGATTTGCAAATAAAAATACTATTATTGTTCAAAACAAATGTCCACATTAGCGATCATTCTATCCACAAATTCCATGGGGGTGAGGGAGGAAAACGATATTTTGAAAGCCACTTATTCCTTGGGTCCTGATCCCCTTCATGGTTCAAACTTTGTATATTCACGTTCCAGAAAAATGCAATTCCTGCTCCAATATATTCATTTATGGAGTCAGTCACACACACAAGGGGTCATTATTTAAATGCCATATTGTTAGATTATTATGAAATTTCAATGATTATCACCATGTTTTCACATAGCAATGTGAAATGTCACTTAAAGGAATTTCTTCTATGAATCTTCTCTTAGAGAAGAACATCTCAGCAGGAAGACTCAGGAACACTGCCACCAAGACAAATGGAATGCCACACACAGACACTGCACCAACCCTTGAGGATTAACACTTTATGGGCTTGAGAGAGTGAGTGAGACTTCACAGAAGCCACGAGCTGCTGATTCACCCCCCACCTTGTCCAGCACTGTTCTCTAAGTCACGCTCATGAGAGTAGTTCCAAAGTTACTCTGCAGGGTAACGAGAGGGTATTGGAAAGACCTGCACTGAGACTCAATGATTTCTGAAGAACAGTCAAAGGTGATAGTGAGAAACCCTGGGTCTTTGTTCTTCATCTCTTATATCACATTACCATTTCATGCATCTAAACGAATGATCACTTTGGCCATGAAGACACAGGTTAGCAAAATTCTCAAGCCTTGGTGGAGGATAGTGGGAGATACTGTGTGGACCGTGGAGGTTTCACCAGCTGCTTCCAGTGCACCGTGTGTCTCAGCTGGACACGGGTGCTGTGAGTGCTCGGGAAAAACATTCATCCTGCCTAGCACACACAAGGGGGGATTGTCACGACTCTGCCTGGTTCCTCAAGGTGTTTGGAACAGTGTCTCCCACCCAAATAAGATGAATTACACATCTGGACGGGAGCCACATAGCTTCACCATCTGTTTCTAATATTTTTTGAGAACAGATAAATGTTTATCCAAAGGAGTTTCTGTGTTTAAAAAAATAAGAGTTAGCTTTAAAAAACCTACACTGACTGTCAACAGAAAGCAGAAAGATTACTTTTAAAATGGAGATAGGAAAAGATTGCTACAACCCTGTCTTAGTTGATAAATTTGTAATATGAATTTAACCTTTTGTTTCCATTAAGGAGATTTTGTGGATGTTTCATATTCTTAGACTAAGAAATAAACCTCAAGATATTTTTTAAAAGCTGCATTTAAAATATAAATATCTAAGTGGCTAGTAAGAGAGAATACAAAAATATGAGATTTCTTTCTTTAACTTCAGTTCGAGAACTTTCACCTTATCTTGACCTCATCTCTCCAGACGTTCCTCAGTTTATGATCTCAAAACATAACATCAAGCTGATAGTATCTCAGATTTGTAAAGAAATTTGAATAAATCAAGATTTTCAACAATGAAAATATTTCATTCCATATAACCAGTGCTAATAATCCATTTAAATCTGATTTGAAAGTTACTTTTAAATTGTCATAAAACTTTTATATTTTCTATTTCTTCTTTAAAATTCAGCTTATTCTATCTAAATAGAAAAATCCAATAAAATCTGTACACAAGTGGGGTGATCATAAAAAAAAGTAGCAATTTAGCTACTGGAGGTTTAGAAGGAAAACAGACTTCAATAAAGTGTGAAATAATTGTGTTACATTCCTTTATGAAACACTGAAGGAAGAGAAATGATAAGGATATCAGAAGCTAAGAAAACTGTACAGGAGTAACATTTTACTTTGTTCCTAGCATAATGATAAAATAACAGTAAAAACAATTATATGGATTTAAAAATGGTGGCCACTAACCCAAGTATCCCTACATGTTAATTTATTACCACAATTTAATGAGAAAAATATTATTATTATTATTATTTGGGGGAATAAAAAATATTTTTGGCAAGAACCAAAAAAATTACTGACTTAATTATCATGGCTTGGTGGTGTTTGATGTTTGTATGTTCCAAATCATGGACATTATCCATGTGTGAAGCAAAGCCTTAAAATTAAGAAGAAAAGAGAACAAGAGAGAGAAAGAAAGAATCCTTGACTGGTATTCCAGATAGAGGCATACTAAAAATCCAGGTTGGAGTAATAGTGAAGTGTTTAAAAAGATTCTCATTACCAATAGTAATTTCTTTAATAGTAAATAGTTTTAATAGCAATTATAACTGTGCTCATGTGGCTTCATAACATTCAGAGAGCACGTGGGGTCAAAGAAATAGTACAGGGTTAAGGCACTTGCCTTGCCTGTGGTCCAGCCGAGTTCAATCCCCAACATTGCATATAGTCCCCTAAGCAGCGCCAGAGATAGAGCCAATAATATGCCCTAAGCACCACTGGGCATAGGTAATAAATCCAATAAATCAATAATATAGAATGTGAACTACACTTAACTAATGATATACCACATACCTACCACCACCATCTATATGTGGTATATTTATACCACATAATAAAATTTGATAGGTCAATATATAACTTGCTAGATTTTCCATAAGAAAGTCCTATATCAAATTTTTATTAAATGAGCTCCTTAATACTTTTTTAATTAGGATATTAAAAATCATAGTGATCTCTTTCGCACAATGTAGATTGAATAAATAGAATATAAAATCTAAGGATCTAAAGAATGTAAAAGAATGTATAATCTAACATGAAGAATATAGAAATATGAAATCTAAAGAAAGATCCAGCTTTTCCCTGCGTTCCCTCTTAGGCATTAACAGTTTCAAAGGTGAAAAAGACACGCAACCTCCTTATCTTCCTAAACAATGGGTGTGGCATATACGGCAGCTTATCATTTCAACATGATGCTAGACAGAACTAGTTCCTAATGAATAAATATGTCTTCTACCCCAACTCCAGGCATGATGGGGTGAAACTGTCCTAAATCTGTGATACTTCTCAACAAGATAATTCTCCACATAGCACAGCGGGTAGGGCGTTCGCCTTACAAGCGGCCAACATGGCCGACCCGAGTTCAATTCCTCCGCCCCTCTCGGAGAGCCCGGCAAGCTACCGAGAGTATTCGATATGCCAGACACAGTAACAACAAAGTCTCCAATGGAGACGTTACTGGGCCCGCTCGAGCAAATCGACGATCAACGGGAGGGCCTTTACCTTTACCTTTTACCTTACTTAGATTAATAGATATTTGCAGAGTATGACCTCTATTAACCTCATTGCTGGTGTGTGTATTAGCCACAGCGACCATGCTGGCCTTTGGTACTAGCACTTGGCCACCTCTCCTCAGCAACCATCTTATTCTCTCCTGATCCACCTTGGTGGCCCCCCAAATTCCTCAGTTTATCTTCCTTTGAATTGCCAGCTCACGGGTGTTATCTCCACTGTCCATGCCATTCCAGTCTCACGCCCTCTGCCTTCTGCTTCTTGTACCCTTTCTTCGAAAAAACTCTACACCTCCTTCTCTCCTCTTCCCTTTAACTTTCGCCTAGGAAACATCTACTCATCACTTAAAAATGTTTAAGTCTATCAAAAGAGATATCCCACCTGGGGAATATCTCTTTTGATAGACTTAAACATTTTTCCCCTTTCCCCTCTCTGGCAAAACTCAGGAAGTGGTTATGTTATCAATTATATCATGTTCCATTTATTTATTCACATACTTGGCTCACTCAGCAATCAAATCTTGAAAACAATGAATTTAAGTATTACTCATCCTGTATACTAAATAAAAGGTGGGTGAATTTAACAACTATTTAATTCTTTCTGTATATTATGCAAGACTTCTTTAAATTTTCCTCTTATAGATGAAGGATCAGGTTTTCTCCCAAACAAGGTCAAATGTTTATACCTATGCCACAAAGTTCACTTTTCTAAGTTAGTACATTTTAGAAACATACAAAATATCATCCAATAATCTATTCATCAAAAGTTAAAGCAAATACTAAAAGCAATCAACTAATAACCAAAATTACCATTTTTACAATATTATGCAGTGTTTTCTAAGCTTTCATCATTAATTGTTCACTAGTTAAATTACTATCTTTAATTTGATAGTTATGAAAAATTCACACATATGATTAAAAAATAATCAACCATTTGATTTCATGTCTTACAGGATAGTGAGGGTCTTCTGAGAGAATTTAAGCTAAGTTGTATGCATATTTTTATGTGATAATTTACCTAAAATTCATCTATCATCTCTCCCCCTCAATTTTAGGTTACTAGATTATTTGGTACTAGATATAAAATATGCAGGAGTTATTCCCATCTAATCATAATAAAATCAAATAAGTTGCATCTTCCTAAGAGAATAATGGTGATGATGATGATAACAAAATTGATAAACCTATACTGAATTATTTAATGCTGTATCTTCAACTCTATGGCTTACAATTTATTTATCACAAATAGTACAGAATAAAAATGGCCACCTACTTTTCAGGATTATCCACTTCTTCAGTAACAAAGTTGAGATAGAACCTAAAGAGATATGAATGGATTTAAATTACTAATACGCTCATATATAATCCAAAAATTTGAATTAGAAGTAATGGAAATCAAATTCAGATTCACGAACTTTTTGTAAACAAATATTGATAGTAAGATGAAAGTTTCCAATAACCACCAACTCCCAGAAATAATTTTTCTATTAAATATTTGTTTTTCTTTATTAACATTTTAATAAAGGTCCAACATACAACAGCAGCAAGGTACATAATGTTCGTGTGTATCTGGGTGCTGTCACTGTCACTGTCATTTTCCTCCCGTTGTTCATCAATTTGCTAGAGCAGGCCCAGTAATGTCTCCATTTCGAGACTTGTTGTTACTGTGTTTGGCATATTGAATACGTCACGGGGAGCTTGCCAGGCTCTGCCGTGCGGGTGAGATACTCTCGATAGCTTGCCGGGCTCTCCGAGAGGGGCGGAGGAATCGAACTCAGTTCCGCCACATTGGCTGCGTGCAAGGCAAATGCCCTACCCACTATGCTATGGCTCAGGTCCATATCGGGATGCATGTTTCCGAATTTAGACTCACATATAACCGGTAGCAGCATCAAAATATAAAACATTACTGGCACTCTCAGACTTTCCTTTAAGATCATGACATATTATTCATATCATCCTCTCCTGTGTAAAGGTTACTCTTACTTTGACTTTTAACATCGTAGATTCATTTGCTTGTTTTATAACAATATATTAGTATTTGCCTATCACAAATGTTTTAGCATTTAGTGTTTGACTTTTTTACTGGACTTTGTGAGTTTTATCCAGACTGTTGCATAGTACAGTAATTCATTACTTTCATTGAGTATGTTCATTGGAGGAGTATAACCCAATATATTCCAAATTATAACTATTACGAACATAGATGCCATGAACGTGTTTGTCCCTTTAGAAACCAAACAATCATAATAGAAACCCAAGCACAAAAAATTGTAAATCTACAACTGTACCTCATGGTGTTTCACTAATAAAAATTTTTAAAAAAAAATTTTTTTTTTAAATCTCAAAAAAAAACAAACAATCATTTCTCCTGGGGATATACTCAAAACCACTGGGCAATGGGTAGATACATGTTTATTGGCAATTTTCTACACTCATTCTACCATTTTTGTATCCTTGCCAACAAAATAGGAGATTGCCATGTATCAATCAACCACTGGGAAGATGAACATGGAATGTCCACAGTCTCACTCCTCAAGGAGCTGAGTTTCTGAAGGCTCCACAGAGCAGTGTGCTATGGCTCAAGAGGTCATTCATTAGGTACAGGGTCCCCTGGAGCCAGAGGCAGCTCAAATCAATCTGGCAGATCTGAGCATGCATCGATCATAGATCTTAAAATTAGGAAAAATCAAAGGATGAAAATGGAAAAAGTTAAGCCAAACATAGATCTTTTGACTCCTCTAATTCACAGACTTAAGACATAAACACACACACACACTCACACTCTTACACACACTCACACACACTCACACACACATACTCACACTCACACACACTCACACACACATTCTAAATCACTTTTTATATACTCCTTTATAAATAATTGTCTAAGAAAATGAAATAATTTTATATACATATAAAAAGTCTACATTTTTATATAAAAGCCTACCTTTTTATATAAAAGTCTACAATTAGAGTAATAATTCTCTAGACTCTAAAAATAAATGGCCAGAATATCAAATTCTTTTGCCAGAAACAAAGATTGAAAAAAATCAATCTTACTCTTTCTTTATAAAAGAAAACAAAAACTAAATTCACAGGTTGCCATTCAAGGTGGTTTAAAACAAGACAGCAAGTCCAAAATGGAGTCCTTCATGCTGAGTCTCACATCTCCAAACTGAGAATTCAACTCTCCCAAAAATAAAACCCTAAGCCAGACCATTAGGACCCCTCTGATCAAAGAGAGGTAATCTGACTGCCAGCCCCCTGCCTACCTGAGGGCAGGTGAGCTTGCAGGAACCAGCCTGCCTCCCTGCCAAATACAACCTTCTGTTCCTGCTCTGTCTATAAAAGGCTTTTGTTCTATACAAATTGGATGCTTCCTGGTCCAAATCAAATTCCTTCAAATATACCTTTCAAAATTTTAATGCCTCAGTTTTATCTCTTAATAAGATTAAGATTTCTAACTAATGGTTCGAGTATACTATTTTTTCATTTGAACTACTAAGAGAATAGTGGCCATAGAGGCGATCTAAAATGTTAGCTGCCAAGGATGTTTTTCTTAATGACTAGAAAGTCAGTTTCTAAAAATAGTGGTTGTGGCTGTACCAGGAAACTAAGCAACAATCAATACTGATGTCTGGAATATGCGCTGAGAAATTTGATGTTTTTATAAGCCTGAGGCAATGGGAAGTACAGGAAGAAAATGCACACAGAAATGAAAACAAGGCCCCAATACACACGCACATCATACATACATACAGTTACACACACTCAGAAACACACACATATATACAGTTACACATACTCAGACAAACAGACACATTTACACACACTCAGAAACACACACATATAGTTACACGTAGACACACACAGACACATTTACACACACTTAGACACACACAGAGATACACTTGAGTATAGTTATACATACTCAGATGCACACAAACACAATTAGACATACTCAGATACACACTCAGAAACACACACACAGTTATGCACATTCATACATGCACATATACAGACACACTCATACACACCTACATATACATTTACACACACAAGTGTTTCCAGGGTTTTAAAGTCAAAAATAGATGGTCCCTTCTGAACAGTGGTTTTAAAGAAACTGGTCATTTCCAACAATGTTGGAATAAGAGAGGAAGTATTTCTGAAAAGAGGAATAGTCTTTCAAATACTCGCCATAGCTCTAGAGACCAGAGGGTAGAAAGTCTCGGCCAAGCGGATCGAGGGCAGAAAGCGCTGAATTTGGGTGCCCCATGGGAGCAGTCCCGTGGGAAACACTTCTGCCTGCCGGCCTGTCTGCAACAGTGAGGCCTGAGCATCCTTCTTGCTTCAGGCCCCTCAAGACCCCTGGAGAATACTCACAAGATCTATTGTTCCAGCTTTTCCATGATTGTGTGTAAGGCTCTGGCAAGCTGGCAATGCATTCGCAAACCCCAACAATGTGAATTATTTTTAAAAGAAGCTTATTCTTTAGATTAGATTGGACACAATGGTACAAAATAATCCCAGCAGGTGCTTTAGAAAGAGTAAATCCACTGACGATTGGATTTTTAAAGGGAGAGAAAAAAAGACTCTGGAAAAAAAAAAACCTATTTTCTATCACACAGTTTAAAAAAAATAAATAAATAAACCCACCAAGCAATATTGGGCTTCGGATCAGGAGAGAGAACTGAAATTGGTTGCATTCCCCAGGGCCACTGGCCGCCTGGCAGCCCCATTTCTCTGATCACATGCTTTGGCAGTACTATTACAGTCCTCCTGACCCAACTCTGTGACCCGGCCTGCTTAATGAGTCCCTTTTTGTCCTAATCAGGCTTCAGTGATGGTGTTTTTATCATTCTAAAAAGGTTCTGAGCACTCTGCCTCCTCACCAAAAGCCTCCTCTCTCCCGCCCTAGGGTGGAAAGTGTTTTTCCTACTGAATCACTGGGAAGGACTCTGGCCCTGCAGGTGCCCATAGGGGGTTCAGACAACTGTAGGGGGTTCAGTTCTGATGGCACTGGCTGTCTCTGTCTCTTGTGTTGTGTCTGTGAGCACACACACACACACACACACACACACACACACACACACACACCTCACCCCCTTCTTTCCTTTTTCCTTTCTTTTTTTTGTCACCAATAAAATCCCAGGAGTCACCCAAGCAGAGGGCTCATTTCCTGAATCCCATATAAAACCTCCCCATCCCAGATTCATTATTGATAGCAGAAGCGACAGAGCTTTGTCAGGCAGCTGGTCCTCCTTGGAAAGAGAATCGAGTCCTGCTTCAGCAATCTTTGCCTTTCCATCTTTGTCCATCTACATGCAGATTTCCCTTTCATCTGTGGCACCCAACCAGTACAGCCAGTTTCTCATACAAATCAGGGGGGAGAACGTTGGATTTTTTTCTTCCCCACCCACCAAGTCTCACTCAGGAAGCAGAACAATGTCTGTCACGTCTCAGCCCCTGACTCCATGGGAAATCGGACTTTTATTTCCACAAGAACCTTGAGTGTCTTGTTCTTTAAAATGGGATACAGACAGGAGGATTCTCTGGGCAAAGGTATAAGTCAAAGGCCACGGGAATCTCACGTTTCTCAGTTTCTAGGCCTAAGATGGAGTCAGCCTTGCTTAGATGTCGCTCTTGGCCACTGCCCCTAAAATCAGTATTTCTCAACCTTTCCTCATCACGTTATCCTCCCGTGATGATGTTGTCACTTTCTTGTGGTCCCTTTGTCCTGCGAGCTCACTAGTCTCCTGCCATAGCCCCCATTTATAGGACTTTTCACCCATGGCCCCTCGGAATATCTGGTGAGGGGATTGAGGCCCATGGGAGGTCATCTGGCCTTCTGGATTGAGAAACGTTGACTTAGAGAGTTCCCTGACCCTGTTCAGGGCCTGCTTTGACCAGCCATTGCCCTGACCGGACGCCAACCCTGGGTTCCACGCCCACTTCCTACTTCCTCATGCCTTTCCTGTATCTAGCCCTGCTTCCTTTCTGTCTTCGAAGAAATCTCCCAGCCTTCCACACCAAGTTTGCAGTTCAATAGACTCCAGGCCCTGGAGGGGTCCAGCTTCATCATGAAGTGCTAGTGTCTGCTTGGACCTGGGGCTTCGTCTCTTTCCATCACCAGGGGCTGAGCACCCACCAAGCGGAAGAGGAAGACCAGGGAAAAATCAATACAAAATAAGGAGAGCCCGCAGGCTCGCAATAAGGGAGACCTGCCTTGTGTAGACCCCCAAAACCTGCGGAAGTGGAGACGCTTTGCTCTTCTCCAGAAAGGCAGTGACCTGGATATTCAGTGAGGGGGTGTGGGAGCTGATCTTAGATTTCGTGGGAACAGAAGGCTGCTGCAGAGGCAAGACCAACTTCACAGAGGGACTTCATCAAACCTCCCTTGTAACTATGCGCACATTCCACAGCCCCCTTGCATATTGCCTGGTGCCCAAGGCTGGGCTCCCTGAAAGCTTTTTGCCACCTCCGCTTTGCTCTGGGGTCTCCCGCTGACAGTCCTGTGGGTTGGCCACTGCCTCGGGGCACTGAGCTGTGATCCAGGCTAAATAGCCATAATAGCCATGGGAAGGTTGGTTCTGAAATGAATCCCTGTGATCACTCCTCCTCCCTTCTCTCTGCCAGAAGCACGTGGTGCTCTGCACAAAAGCCAAAAGACTCCAGAAATACTGAGTGATCCGTGATGAATCCTCACACACAACAGCTATTTAGGGAGAACCCAGGAACTCACACATTTTTCACATGACACTGCCCCAGAGTAACAATCTTCTAACCACTTCCAAGCAAATTTTGCTTTGAAAAATCCCAAGTTTCTGTCATCTCCGAATACTCTTCTCATGGTACATTTTCATAATTCAGTGAGAGCAGGATACAGTTCCCACTTATTTGAAAGACTATCTCCATTCCAGGCATTAGTTGGGAGATAAGGTCTTAAAAAGTAAAGAAACAAAAGAAAAAGAAACTGTACTTATGTTTGATTGATTGATTGATTGATTGATTGTGTGTGTGTGTGTGTGTGCATATGTGTGTGGTTTTTAGGTTACATCCAGTGGCTGTACTAGGGCTTATTACTAGTGTATTACTAGAGCTGATTCCTGGCTCTATGGTCAGGAACATTCGTGAGAGGGCTTAGGAGACATATGAGATGCTGGGGATTGAACCTGGATCAACCATGTACAAGGCAAGCACCACACTATATCTCCTGTCCACATTTATTTTATTTTTGAAGTAAGGTAGTTTCCTCATATCATTATTCCTATTATTAGGCTCAAACAATGTTCTCACAGACAAAATTGAACAGATTAGCTCTAAAGATAATTTTTGAAATGAGAATTGCCAGTTATTACTCCCAAACAAGAAAATTTAATCTCACCACGTGGTTTTGATGTTTTAATACCATTCTTGCACCCAATGGGATTTCTGGCAAGTTCCTTCAACCACATCCTACCTGATGAATAAAAGTTAGGAAGAGAATTCCAGTCCTCTGTGAGGCAAACTCTGACCAAAGCCAGGCAGAAGGGCAAGGCCTCTTTCCCGTGAACCACAGCACAGCAAGCTGGACCTCAGAGCAGATGCTCGAGTCATCCTGCTGTACATTTTGTTTCCAACTATTGGGGAACTTTGAAGGACCAGGCATGTCCTTTATGGTAGGGCAAATGATCTCATTCATATGATTTGATTTTTGTGGTCTCCCTTTCTCTGTGCTTAAGTACCACTCACCACCCAGAAATATCTTATTTCTCTACCAGAACTCTTTCTCAAGGGAAAGTGGAGAAAATCAGTTGATGGGCATTGGGAGTGGAATAGCCTGGAGCTTAACTGAAAGGTCTTTGGACCAGTCAAGTCCACATCTTGAATGCTGCCCATGTTATCCTTAGGTCCTTACTACTAAGTACTTAAGTGATGTGAACTGGTTGGATAGGCCATTGTGTGCTTCTCCTCTGTAAAATCAGCACAGAAAACACAGTGAGGTTTCCAGGGCACGTGGGAACTGGCTTCCTGGAGGGGACCACATACTTCTTCCCCTTGATTATGGCAGATCATTCTGGTGACAGCCATTTGCCCTGAACCTTGATTGGCATTTGGTTCGTGTACCTCAAGGGGTGAACAAACCTTACAACACCCCTCCCCGAGTGGAGAGATCCACTTACCAGCCCGCGTAAGCATACATTCCATAGTAAAATGCCAAGGGCAAACGTACAATACTCGCATCATTTCCAGAAAAGGCGTCTTTAAAGTGCTGTGTGTGTCCTGCAATAAGAGAAGATGGATTTCAGGACTCTGGGAAGAACTGCCTCATATTCATGCTCTATCTATGACTAGCAGGAACTTGTCACGAGTCATTCCATTTCCAGTCTTGATGTCATAACATTTTACTCAGTTAAAACTATGCCTGTCCTAGAGAAGGAAGGCCAGAATCTATGATCACTACTTCACATCGCATCTTCAATATAAGCAGAGCAAGGTGGAAAGTGGCATTTAACACAATAACATTCTTGGAGCCTGCCTCTGCGCCTGACAGTTAGGCCTTGAAAGATAATGAAGGGGGAGTCTATGAACCGTAGCTTCTAGGAGAGCTGTAGGATTCTCAACACTGGAGACACTATGCTAATTGGGAAAACAAGCACAGACACACCCTCAAGGCTACTCCAGCGAGGGGAGGGAAGAGGCCCAGAACTGCCTCCTTCCAGGATGCTTTCCACGCTAAACTCACTTAAGAGACCAGCAGGAATTGAAAAACTCTTACCCTGAACTTTAGGTTCTTTGTGAATCAGCCTCCAATGGAGCAGGGCTCGGCCCAGGATTGCCTGTACCCCAGCTGATAGCATCTCTCTATGGTTGCTTTTGCCCTCAAATATTGAACTGCACAGTTGGAATTGAGAGAGACCGGATGACACTCAAAGCTGAAAATGTCTACTGTCTGGCCCTCTGCGGAGAAAGTTCCCTAACTCTGTCCTAGGAAATAGAAATAATCCCTCTGGAAACCAAGAGAATTACATTGAGCTCTAAAATCAGGAAAGAGCAGCAAGGTTTCCATCAATGTGTCAACTGAACACTTATTCACCATGTATTTCTCTACTGTGTGAATTATAATAGGTTTCCTGATCTTATATCTGTTATAAATTTAAAAGGAAATTTCAGGGGCTGGAGCAATAACACAGTGGGTAGGGTGTTTGCCTTGCACGCGGCCAACCTGGGTTGGATTGCCAGCATCCCATATGGCACCGTGAGTACCGCCAGGGGTAATTCCTGAGTGCAGAACCAGGAGTAACCCCTGTGTTGACCTCCCCCCCGAAAGAATTTGAGGGACCAGAGAAATAGTACAGTCGGTATGCGGTGCTTCCATTCCAGCCTGCCTGAGTTCACTACCCAGCACAGCATATGGTTACCCCAGCACTGCCAAGAGTGAGAGCCAGGAGTAGGTCCTGAGTGCTGCCAGGTGTGACACAAAACTAAAAAAACAAACAAAAATTTAAAATAGAAATCCTAATATTGTCAATCAACCAGGATCAAAATGAGGCATTTAAAAGCTCTATTCTCCAAAAAAAAAAAAACACATTAAATTAGATGCCCCCAAAAGGAACCATAACTTACCCCAAGACTGGTCTTCAAAGGTGTAAATGAAGGTGCTCTAGGTGAGGGAAGTCTACAAGAGCCTGTGTGCAGCCTCAGAGCCAGCGCCTGCCAGGGTTGCCCAGAGCAGACCACAGAGCTTGCTGGAATGCTTGTGAATTTTGAGCCAAAATGGAGAATGCTGAGTTACATACTAAGTGATGTTTTTTTTTCCCTCCAAGCATCCAATTCACCCAAACAGCTCATTTTTTAAAATGATATGGTGAATTCAGAAATACCCATCTTATAGTCCTAAACTATCTCAGTGTCCTCCCAGAAAGAAAATACAAAGGCTGGAGCTCAGATAAGAAACATCTGTTGAATATTCTATTATCTCAATCTATGGTCTCCTGAGCCTGGAGGGACAATATCCCAAAGATCACGGCACTGGATAACAAAAACAGAGAAGAAACCAACTTTGCAAAGTCTGGGTCCTGGCATTGACCATGCTCGTGCCTTTCAGAATACATTAGAGGATAAACAGGAGGCATTTTTTTTACATCTAGGGATACTCCCGTACGCAGTAGAGGTCTCAGGAAGATGAAAGTCTAGTATGAAGGAAAGTTTACCCAAGCCGCCACCCCTAAGTGAATACAGAATATCACTACTTCCAAGTTAGAGTGGAAATACACGTGCAATCTGAACCAGTACTCTCTCTTCTTGGAGCTTCAAATTAAAGGGAAAAAAATATATGTGATCAAGAGAAATAAAATAACTAGTGGATATTAATAAATATACTTACTAAGAATGTTGTCCCAGATATTAAATTTTTCTTTAAATATCAGAGTACTCTGAGGGCATTTCTCCATTTGGCGAAATATATGAGAAAGCCCAATAGTATTAAGCATTGTTAGCTAAGTACTCATTAAAGTATCTTATTAAAAGCCAACAAAGATAGCTCTTGAGAAATTTACAATCCAATAACATTTGAGCAAAACACCCCTCGCGTGTGCACATGCATAAATAAGTCATAAAAACAGACTCCAGTCTTGCAGCAAACAAAGAAGCAAACGGTCTTAGTTTTAAGGAACAGAATGTCATCTTTTGGAACTTGCGCAAGGGTTAAAGCAGAGTGGATGACCCAAAGTGTCTGCACATTCCCAAAAATGGAAGCAAATTCTCCTTGAAGACAGAAGAGTTAAGCCAGACAAAGAAAGCATCGCCAGGAAGGCCCTACAGAGTCTTTCAGATCGGCTGGAAGCAGGCAGGAGGCCCTGAGAGGCCAGCGATGACTGGTCAGTCGGCTCGGGCTTTTCATGAGTGGAAGCTAAAAAGCCTTCCTATTTCTTTTTTTTTTTTCCCAGAGGAGCTGGCGAGGCTGCTGGACTGGCTGCATCCACTGACCCACAGAGCAGCTCTCGAGGAAGACTCGGGAAAGGGACCTCAGCACCCCTGTCCCCCAGCACCAGGGGTGACCGCCATCTGCCAGCTTCATGATATGATTGTGTCAAAATTTGGCCTTTCCTTTGGCCTTGGGTAATTCTTTGGCAACTTCAGTCAATGTCGCCATGAACTCCCTTTCTGGGAACAGAGGGCATCACTGCAAACATGAAATGCTGAGCGTACCAGGTGCTAGGTCCCTCCTTTACACCCCAGCAGTCTGTCCAGGGATGCGCTCCTCTCCAGAGCCCCTGGGAGCCGGGTGCCTTCTGTCCTCGGACCTCAGAACTCCTGGCTCACCTTTCCCTATTAGCCGGTGAATGCTCAGACAAGCACGCCCAGGGACCTTTAGCTCTCGTGGCCTTGACTTAGAGATGCAGGTTCTGACATTACAAGGGATGTAGCCATAAGACTAAAGTTCCCAGCACTGTGCTATAGGGCCATCCTCAGCACTCTCCCTTCCCGTGGCTACTCTTCCATGGATGATGTACAAGGTAAAAGGAATAATTAACAGGAAGCCAAAGAAGGACTGATCACCTTTCATTATTTTTCGGATAACACGTGTCTCTTTTCATCCTAATTGCTCTCACTGCACTCTTCTAAAGTCAAAAATGTGAGCGTCTACTTAGGTGGAGTTAGCCCACACCGGGCATTCCTCTCTGTACGCTCCCAGTCCTGACAGGGGAGTTTCTCCTGCACTCCTTGGGGGCTTGGCCTCTCTCAATCCTCCTGTTGCCTTTCAGCTGTCAATAAGCCCTACCCCAATGCCCCACCCCCCCCAAAAAAGCCGCCTTTCAAATCACTGAGATGACAGGCAAGAGTGAAAGTTCTAGAAGCAGAGACTAATTAAGGGATTCTGCTGGTACAAGCGAAAGTTAGAGGAGACCGAAAGCAGAGAGGTATTTGGAAAAGCATTTACTTTTCAGTCCATACCTTTAATTAGCTGCATAACTCCGGGGACTATAATTATCAGAATTGCTGTGAGCTTGCAAAAGGTTAGAAAAATCTGGATCCGGGCACTCCAGCTGACACTCACGCTATTTAGGACCATCACTACAGCTGCAAACAAAACAGACGCTGTTACAAAAGGCCCATCCTCCTTGGCACAAACACCTCTTCGGTTTGAGGCCCCCATGTGCCTTCCAGGAACCTGCAGTGTTAGCTTTGCCAGGGAGAGTATTTTTTTTTTTGCAACACCTGTGAGCATCGCACAAGATCTAGTGAAGACAATCTGCATTTCATCAAGACCCCTGGGGGGATGTTTCTGCGCATAAAGTTTGAGAAATGTGGATCCTTGGGAACTCAGGACAGTGGGAAGTCACATCTTGTTCACTGCACATGCCAATGAGAGGGTCAGAGCAGACACGTAGAGCAGAGCCCTAACAGCTGCGTGAAAATACAGTTTAGGGGCCCGAGACAGTGCAGCGACATGCGAGTCATGCCCACATCCTGTACCACATGCTCCAAGCATCTCTGCTTCAGCCCTTGAGGCCCAAGCAGTGCTGGGATGGCCCAGGTGTATCCGACACAGACACATGGCATCCTCAGGCCCTAGCACTGAACTGATGACACAGCTGGCCAAGAACCACTGGTGAGGTCCCTGGGACCATCGAAGCACCAGGTGGGAAACCTTCCCCTCCAATAACAGTATCGAATAAAATCCAGAAATCCTTCTACTACATAATCCAGTTGCTGACTCCAGCCGGCTAAGGCAGAACCACTCACCCCCTCCTGCCACCCAGAGAAGGAGTGCCCCTTAATCCACGCATTTGGGGGTTTGCAATCACACTTGTGGGGCCTAACATGCTGAGAAGGTGCCTGGTGGCCTGGAACCTCAATCTTCACTCTCAGCCCGAGCCCAGCCCACTTGAGCCTTTTCTCTCCACTGCCCACTTAGACCTCAAGGGATGACTTTCTTTCTTTTTGGGGGGTGGTCACACCCAGAAATGCTCAGGGGTTACTCCTGGACCTGCACTCAGGAATTACTCCTGGCAGAGCTTGGGGGACCATATGGGATGTCAGTGATTGAACCAGGGTCAGGTGCATGCAAGGCAAACATCCTATCCGCTGTACTATCACTTTGGTCCCTCAAGGGGTGACTTTCAACCGATCCCAAATATACCAACTTCCAAGCTCTGATTTTGCGGGGTAAATGTCACAATGATGAATCCAAAATCATTTACAGGGATGCACAGGGAGTATGAGGTCAAGAGAATTGGTTTTCTGGTTTTTTGTTGGTTGGTTGTGTGGGAGTGGTGGGTCACATCTGATAGTGCTGGGACTATGCAGGGTGAGGAAGGGAACTGAGGGACTCTCTCATGCAAGCATTTCCTCCAGCCGTTCGAGCTCTTTCCCCAGCCCAGAAGGTCTTTTCTTAAGGTTGCTTCTCCAGCTCCTGGGGCAGGTCTTACCCTCCTCTCCTCACCCTTAGGAACTGGAGGGAAGAGGAGTCATGCACTGCCAGACCGGTTAGCACCTGAGGCTCCAGCCTGTATCTAGCCTAGGGTGATCAGATGGTTTTGTTGAATGAATGACTCAGCTGAATCTGAAGTTCAAACAAACTGAAAACACACCTTCCGTCTGGGAGGCAGGAAATGAAAAAGGAGATCCCTAGACCTGACGTATAGTGAGTGCTGAGATGGCAGGAGATACTCTAGTCGAAGGATTTCAACTCCAGGGTCTTTTCATGTCAGAAGACTCAAATTTCCCAAATGTTACTTCATACATGACAATGACATTGTGACAGCAATAAAATTTGTTTTTTAAAAAAAGGAATGGCCAGGACTGGAGCAATAGCACAGCGGGTTGGGCGTTTGCCTTGCACGCGGCCAACCCAGGTTCTATTCCCAGCATCCCATATGGTCCCCCGAGCACCGCCAGGAATAATTCCTGTGTGTAGAGCCAGGAGTATCCCCTGAGCATCGCTTGGTATGACCCAAAAAAGCAAAAAAAAAAGGAATGGCCAGCCTAAGGAAATGACCAAAATGGATAAATGTAGCTCTAAGGGACTGAAACAGAACACAAAATTCTCAGAATTAGAGCTACAATACAGAGTTTTCCTGAGAGACCATAATGAGTTAGGCTCATTTCTATTGCCTGGTTTCACCACCAGCTGATTTCTCATAATACAGGAGATAAGGGGCTTGCTGTATATGCAGTCAACCCCGGTTCAACTCCTAGCACCACCAGAAGTGACTCCAGAGCACAGAGCCAAGAGAAATCACTCTAAACCACCAGCTGTGGCCCAAAACAAACTAAAAAAACCTTAAGGATCGGTGCAAATGTCTTCAACATATAAATATATGTCAAAATCCGTTAATGTAACCTACACCCTGCAAAGGAAGGGTAATTCAGGTATATATATTTTAATGGTCTATTATGCGGCCATTAAATATTATGACACAGTTATATCCACCCCATACACACGTGCTCATGATATATTATTGGCCAATACAGTAAGTTAGAGAGAGAGAGGCAAAGAAAGAAAAAAAAATCTGATATTAAACTCACTAAAACATTCACACAAGGTACCTGCGACAGATGGAATCATTTTCCATTTTTCTTATCTACATTCTGCATTCCTTTAATAATTTTTATAATGAACATGCATGCAGCTATAGTCATTTTTGAAGAAATTCAAAGGTGGCAAACACAAAGGGCCACTAGATCCTGCACGCTCATAAAGGGTTGCGATGAAGGGGGTCAAAGGGCCGTGTGCCATCTCAGAATGGCTGAGCCCAAGCCCACGCGGCGCCAGACTACGGGAATATCTGATCTGTGTTTGAAGCTGCAAACATGAAGGCTGAGGTTCCCTGCTAATGGCCAAGTGCATTCTGTTCTCAGAAGGATAAAAGGCAAAATGATCTCTCCCCAATATAAAGCACTTATATAGGGAAAAATGCAACTTTCCTCCCCCTTCTTCATCCAATGACTTTTTTCTATGCAAATGGCTCTGTGATAAATGGGTCATCATATGAAAAGATTTTTTTTTAAACTTAGGGAGGTTCAGCATTAGTCTGAAAGGGAAAAAAAAATGTTCTCATGTTCCTACCACCAACAAAAGAGTACTGTTTTCTTTTAAATAGAAGTCCCCAAACTCCAAACATTATTCCAAAAGTACTCCACAAGAGAAAAGAGGTGCTATCTAACAAGGGAAAGAGGAAATGGAGGAAGGAAAAAAGGAAAATGGGTAAGAAGGAAGAAGGGAAAATGGAAATAAAAAAAGGAAGGAAAAGGAAGGAAGGAAGGAAGGAAGGAAGGAAGGAAGGAAGGAAGGAAGAGAGGGAAGGAAGGAAGGAAGGAAGGAAGGAAGGAAGGAAGGAAGGAAGGAAGGAAGGAAGAGAGGGAGGGAGGGACGGGGGAGGGAGGGAGGGAGGGAGGGAGGGAGGGAGGGAGGGAGGGAGGGAGTGAGGGAGGGAGAAAAGGAAGGAAGGAAGGAAGGAAGGAAGGAAGGAAGGAAGGAAGGAAGGAAGGAAGGGAGGGAGGGAGGGAGGGAGGGAGGGAGGGAGGGAGAAAAGGAAGGAAGGAAGGAAGGAAGGAAGGAAGGAAGGAAGGAAGGAAGGAAGGGAGGGAGGGAGGGAGGGAGGGAGGGAGGGAGGGAGGGAGGGAGAAAAGGAAGGAAGGAAGGAAGGAAGGAAGGAAGGAAGGAAGGAAGGAAGGGAGAGAGGGAGGGAGGAAGGAAGGAAGGAAGGAAAGAGATAGGAGATATACTTTTCTTATTTGAGGGGCATTTATCTATAAACTTGAGGAAAACAGATTTTTAACATCCATAAAGAGTGCATATACTTGATGCCTACTGAAATATATATATATAAAGGGGTATTGGGGATTTTCCATAACTTCTTTTAGATTTTCAAAAATGAAAAATAAAAATCAAACAAATGTTATGAGCGGATCATCTCATCTGGCTTTCCTCACTGACAGGTGCAATCAAAATTCTCTCAGAGGTTTCTCAAAACCCTGTTTTCTCGGAGAATTCAGTCCCTGTGCTAATTATTTGGGATGCCAGAGGCCAGTAGAGAGATGCCCCCATAACCCTGACAGACAAGAGTCACACCAGGCAGTCGGTGCAGTGGCCCCCAGAAGCACTGCTGTGGGCATATGCAGACTCTGGGTAGTGTGTGCAGTCTGTGTGGGTAGTTACCCAATATAGAATAGAGGGATTTAGGATATACTACCTGTCAGAGCTTCCTGAGTTTAGGGAACAAACAATATCACATACACACAGACACACACAGACACACACAGACACACACAGACACACAGACACACACACACACACACACATACACTCTTTACCAATTTTGTACCCATTTCTTGTTTTCACTAGCAGTTGCTAATTTCACTCATTAAGACTGGTTCAGTCGTCATTTTGGGCTTGTTGACTTATTTACTTGTTTTCTTTCGAGGCTGTGCCTTCTATCTTACCCAAATGGAAATACGGGGCAGAAAGTTTTTATTTCCTTATTTATGATGCCATTTGCAGAGCCCAGAAAGACAGTGACGGAGGCTGTATGTATAAATCCCGGGGATAAGCCCGAGACCGCTGAGGAGCACGGCTCGAAGAGGATGTTAAGAAGAGGGCTGGGGGCTGCTGGCCCCGAGATTTAAGGACGGCAACTAGTTCTTCCTGCACTTCGATAACTCACGCCTGCCTTTGGTTTTTGCAGAGGGAGATTACTGGGCCTGGATATAATGGTCTTTCTCCCGGGCTCCAATTCGCCCTCACTTCTGACTTCTGAGTGCTTTGTGCTAAACTGAGAAAATATATGACTTCCGAATGGTGCATTCAGGTAGATGGTTCTGCTGCTGTCGAAGCTGTTCTAGCTGCCTTTATCTCTCCATTAGCATTCAGGGCCCGGATACACGCATTGTAAAGCAGGTGTATAGCCACAAACACCTTTAAACAGGCAGAGACCCACCATATCTGAGATCTGACTGCAGGGGGATAAGAATTAGAAGCATTAAGTAAGTGAATTGTGGCTGCAGCAGAGACACAGTGCAAAGATTTTCCAAGGCTAATGCTGCCTTATCTAATCCTCCTATCTCAGGCCATGTTCACAGTCACTGCCCTCTTGTTTCAACCGAGCACCTGAGACCGGGGCAACTATTTAACTTGCTTGTGTACATATAGGTAGTAACTGGGAAGATAGGATTGAAGCCCAGATAAACTGGCTCCAGGTTGAACTTTCAGCAGGAATTGCCAGGCACAAGGAGGAAGTAGCCCCAAAGACAGATGATTTCACTCTTATACCAGATTCTTTTCTCTTTTTTTGCTAAGGTTTGGAGTTTATCTTGGCTGGGATTTCAGGACACCTAGATCCCCATTTTATTTTTAGTCCTATGGGAAAATTTTTGATCTGTGCATTTGCCTATCTTAATACTGTGCACATCTATGTAATGATGAGCTTTCTGGCTGATTTCATTCTGGGAGAAAAGGAAAAGCGACAGTGAGATGTCCAGGTTAGAGATTTAAACAGAGACACCTCACATGCCCTGATAAAATGTCAACCCAGAGTTAATCCTAGGTTTTCTTTTGAGTCATTTAATGATGCCAGGAAAATACCGTTTTGAAATGAAAATACTGCAATGCATTTCTCAATGCATTTTCTCTGTAGAATTGACTACTCTTCTCTCCCAATGCAATCACAAAAGTTATTTTGTTGATTTCCCCCGAAGACTCCCACTCCCGAGGTCTGAGCAGCAGAGCTAGCATTCTCTCATCTCTAACCCCAGAGCAAGCAAGGAAACCAAAATTCAGGGTTCGAAAATGAGGCTGCACTGACACCTCACATTCTGTTTTGTTTTGGTGTTCGATTAGGGGACCACACCTGGCAGTGCTCAGGGCTTACTCCAGGCTCTGTGTTCAGAGACCACTCCTGACAGGGCTCAGGGACCGTATGTGGTCCTGGGGATCAAACTCACGTCTACCATATGTAATCCCTTCTGGCTATGAAAACTCTCGTGCTCAACATCTCAAATCTTTTTTAAAGTACTTTCATTAAAATATGCTAGTACTCTGCCATTCTAGCGTCTACTTTCATAGGCTCTAGTTTCAGGAGAACAAAAGAGCAGACTAGATACCATTTGAATAATGAACATTGTTAGATACTAATTGAAGCTCCACAGGCAATGGAAAAGATGGAATTCCTTGAAGGTCAAGAGAAGACAGTGTTGGACTAGAGAAAGCCCCTTCCACTGATGTCACACACCAGGAACACGAGCAGGGCAGGACTGGGCTCAATGAAACCTCTCATCTTTATTGGAGGAGTCAGAGGACAAGCGCTTTAAATGAGAGGAGGGAGTAAATGAGTAATTAGTAACTCCCCATCTTGCCCACTGTCACTGTTGAGTTGATTGGTGGCTATTTTACAAAACTTGGCATTCCTTTTTTCCACCACTTGATTCTAATAAGATCCTTCAGGTTTGCTCTGCACTTGAACTAGAGATTTCAAACTACCACAAACTGTTTCCTTCCCCGGGGAATACAGGGAAGCAATCCAGGCAATTAAACTCTATTTTCTACCGCTCACTAACCTTCCACCCCTCTCAGGGAGAAAACCACCCAGTCTCACTTTGAAAGGATACAGGAGAGAGATCTGCCCCCAGGTAAATTTCTCCTTCTCCATCTCCATCTTCCTCCCCCCTGCTGCTCCATTAAAGTAAAATTCTTCTCAAAGACAGTTTGACTTTCCCAATTAGGCCACTGATTTATATTACCTACCACTGAGTCATAAGAATGTGCAGATTTCTCTCTCCCTGCTTCCGATTATAGGAACTCAGTTTCCTCAAGACCTCAAACTTACAAAAGGAACATCAAATTTTGTAAACGTGTGTTATAACCAGTGGCAAAAGAAAAGGAAAAGAACAGAAAGGAAATGTCTGGAGCCACCCAACATTTACTCAGGCTTTTAGTTAACTCTTCTCTCACCAAGCTCAACTAGGGAAGCTTTGGAAAACACAAATACACACACACACACACACACACACACACACACGCATGCACGCACGCATGCACGCTATCTAATAATGACAACAGAGAAGAGATTCATCTAAACCCATCAAAACTAGTAATATTATTATTATCCACCTCATATGAAATCCGAAGTAGGAAATATTGGTGAATTTGTTAACATCTACACAAAGTTCATTGTGAATTTATGCTGGATATAGCTTGTAATCGGTAGCTTCTCTTGTCAACTAACTGGGCTCTCCAATATTTCTCCCTGAAAATCAGGCTTAACTCTTTTGCAAACCACAACACCCAAAAGGAGAGAGAGAACAAAGGGGAATGCCCTGCCACAAAGGCAGGGTGGAATTGGGGGGATGGGGTGTGGGAAGGATACTGGGATCCGTGGTGGTGGGAAATAGGCACTGGTGGAAGGATGGGTATTTGAAATAAATAAATAAATAAATAAATATTTTTAAAAAATGCTATGCCGGCCATTCTCTTTTTAAATAGATATGAGGATATGCCTAAGTCACTGAGGGACTAAAATATAATGGGTACAATTGTTGTTAACCCAACTTCTCAGAAAAACTCCAGACTTCCTATGAACAAAGCACTCTAAAGGTTTCCAAAATCAGACACAATTTCATCTTTCTACAGACATTCAAGGTAGATTATCCTCTCAGTATACATAAAACGACTGTGGAAGGGGGTTGCAATGTTCATCTCCAAATGACACAATTGAGAAAAAAAGTGACAGGAAGTGGCTCCATTGTTTGTGTTCAGCTTGAGCTGAGATGGCCCCCCTGTGAGATGGCCCTGCCACAGAGTCCCATGGAAAGAGACCTGAGAAAGAGACTTCCAGTCACCCCATTTCCCTGCAGGCTGAGGAACAGGAAAACTTAGATTCCTGCAAGTGGAACAAGAAGGTCTTCCACAGATCTTTCTGCCACAGATAAACTCGACAACCTCTTCTCACATAAGTCAGCTGACAAATATCCACCGAGCACACATAACATGGGGGCCCAACAGGGATCCGAAACACAGCAGGGAATAGGCCCTCGGTCTTATAGAACCTCAGATGCTGCCTTCCCACTAAAGTATATAAAGAGCTACCATTTTTAATTTGCTCTTTATAAGTAGCAGGCATGACCAAAACACTCGACATATAGTGCCTCCTTAGCATTTTTGGATCCTCACAAAATGCCCCGTGAGACTGGGCATAGTTACCTGATGAGACTATTGAGCACACAAAGGCTAAACACTGTGACCCCAAGTCTCACATCTGGAAAGTGTTTAAGGGATTAAGGGAAAGATGAGTTCAGGCCCCGTAGCTGTCCAGAATTCAAAAATGTCTTCTCTTCTTTGTCTTTTTTTCCCCCCGGAAATTTCACAGAATAATCAAGCTCAAGTCTTTGGCAGAGAAAGTAGGAAATCTAAGAAGAATACATTTCAATGCAGAAACGTACATATCTAGGCAAAGATATTTTGTCATTCCAAACTCATCCTGCATGGAGCACTCAGCTCTCTGCTGCCAGATGTTGGCCCATCTCTTCTGTTTCTACAGATTCCTTAAGCATCCCTAACTACAAATGCTTTCTGGGTATGCAACTCAGAGATTCCTAAGGAGCGCTGGACTTTTTGGAGTTGTTCAGATTGTCTATCGCAGTGTCCTCTGATAAAAAATGAACTACCTACTAATTTGCAAGCCATAAAGAAACTCTCAATAAAGGATCATGTCTTGAAATGATATTATTATCATGATGATAAATCAACAGCTCAATGTCTCCTTGAGGAAGTGACAACAGCGACAGCCATAAAATGTACAAGCACTGAACACACCCACGGTGTCAACATCACTCCAGCAGGACAGATGAGTTATAATTCAGGGTAGTCACCAAAGGATAACTTCTAATTCAAAAATTCCATGAGATGTTTTTCATCCTTCAACCTCTCTTTTTATGCAGTTACTGTTTTACCAGAAAAGTTACTTTTCATGCTTTTTCTCTGCTTTTCTTTAATTGTTTAAATATACTTATTAAAGATGTCTAAAAACATGACATCGAAGAAGGATTGGAGCAGTAGTTCAGCAGGAAGGACACTTGCCTTTCATGCAGCCAACCCATGTTCAATCTCTGGCACCCACATTGTCTAGCCCACCATAAGTGTTTCCTGAGTGCGGACCCAGGAATAAGCACTGAGCACTGTCAGGTGTTTATTCGGCCCCAAAGCAAACCAAAAACCGACATCGATGGAGCTTTATATTTCATTAAAGATATTTAATTTCACCCTCCAAAATTAAAAACATTTTTAGATAGGAGTTTTTTAAATTTTAGTTTAGTTTAGGCACTGTGATTTACAATACTATTATGTGGTAGGGTTCCATGCATAAAACATTTCAGCATTTTGGGGAGCCATACATGGCTGTGCTTAGTCTTGGCTCTGTACTCAGTGCTCATGGACCACATGCAGTGTCAAGGATCAAACCAAAGGTTGGCTACAGGCAAGAGAGGTGCCTCAAATTTTGTACTGTCTCTTCAGCCCATATCTTCTTTATTTTTTTTTAAGTTTGTTTTATCTTTTGGGACCACACCTGGCAATACACATGAGATATTCCCAGCTTTGCACTCAGGAATTACTCCTGGCGGTGCTCAGGGGACCATATGGGATGCCAGGAATTGAACAGGGGTTGGCCGCATGCAAGGCAAATGTCCTACCCGCTATACTATTGCTCCAGCCCCAGAGCCCATTTTTTTTTAAAGATGAAACATATAATCTCTTGACCCAATGCAATGCTGATAACTAGCATATTATCAGAGATTATTCCAAGTCCTCATTCTTTTCTTGATTTTTCTAACATACTTGGCAAAGAGCTATAAGCTAAAAGGACAGTTTGGAAACTGTCCCAAACTGGCAAACAGTCTGAAGAAATTTTCTCCAAAGTGTTTGTGTCTTTCCCCCCTCCTTTTCACCTTTACACATAGGATACTCACTTATGCCTACAGCTGTAATAAGCTTGATGGCAAGTTCAGGAATTTCACAGTGGACAAAAAACGGCTCCAGAAGGTAGTGCCCAAAAGCCAGGGATATCACAGCAGTGGCTGCAGGGCTGAGGGGAGAGAAGAAGCATGTTTAGGTTAACTAGGAGACAAATTCATAGCATCCTAACTAAACTTGGTCTGCCTTGAATGATCGACCATGGTACTCAGCCTGAGGACCATGAAGAGTAGAACTATAATTTTTGGAATTTCATATCTAAACAAATTTTCATAAATGCTCCAAATAATGCCCAGAATCTTTGGTGGCCAGCTTTGAAACCTTTGCCTATCCCAGAGAGCAGGGGATGGGTACCACCTGCTCTGTCCCTGATCTCCCACATTTGAGCTTTTGCTCTAAAAATCTAGTTGATTAGAGCTAGGCCTCCAGGGAAGCACCTTCTTTCTCGGTCAGCAGTGAAACTCACCCATAGTATGAAAGGACCCATTTCACAGACCAATGAATCAAGGCATAGTCAGAAACCATGAATATGAAACTTAAAAATTTATTACTGAGCATCCTTTGCAAATAGAAGCAAGTATATTTGGTATTTTACTCTGAGTTCTCCTATACAAAACTTGGAAGAGTCAAGTGACTTTTGTTACATGAAGATATTTAGATACAATGTATAGGTTATAAAGTTAAAGTTTATATCATTTTATACAACTGAAAAAAATACAAGAAAATGAATTGAGTTTAGAGATATAGTAAAACAGATAAACTAATCTATTATTCTTCCAATATTTCTATTAGGAGATTGTACTATAATTCTTCAAATATTTCTATTAGAAGATTGTCCGTCTTGTAAGTTAAAAGATATGTAAATATTTCTAGTGCATATTTCTAGATAAACTGTGGAATCATAATTTCTGCTAGCAGTCTTCCCCTCAGCTACTCTTCTTCCTTGTGGAGTCCATGCTCCATTCCTAGATGGTCATTAATGGACCAGCCTCTTTGTGTTCCAACCTGCTGAAACTAAGCAGCCCCATCATTTCCCTGCTTTTCTTTTCCTGGAGAACTTTGCTTCCTCCCCCAAACAAGCGCATTCCTCCTGGCCTCCATCCTATATAAATGTTTTGATGTGGAAATTAAAATCTAATCATCTCATTTTGGTGCTTTCAAAACATGCGTACACGTGCCCAGATCTTTCAATTCAAGGCTCCATCTGGTCTAAGTGTTCCCTATCTCTTCCATTCGTCTCTTTCCGATAAAAAGATCTGAATCATCTTTTCTTGGAACCTCATCAACTCAGGGACAGTTGTTTTTAATTCCTCCATCTTCCTTTGTCCAAGGAAGCTTCTCTCATTTGCTGTATGAGTGCCATCTCTTGCTACTGAATCCCAGTCCTCACTGTGTTTACTGCCTAAATAGCAACTTTATGTTCACCTGTGAGATTTCTTGATTGATAACTATTCCCCTTGCTTGCCTCTGAGCTCTGTGTTCAAGACGATGTCCATCTTAATCATGGTCTTATCCCTAGTGTTTAGTAAAGTGTGTATCGTAGAATAGCAACCCAATAAATACTGCAGCTAGAGTGAAAGTGTAAATTCAATCTCATGATCCCCGCTATGTACTAGGTGGGTGATATCTCTTTCCCAAAAATCTGTGTGTTACAGATGACTTTTGGCAAGAGTGATGTAATCTGAAGGGCAGTTTTAAAAGTAAGGGTTTGAGCAGTGGGGGCACTGACAAAGGAAGAGAAGAGTTAAAGTGTCTGGGTATCCTGTCACCTTTAAAAAAAATCATTACTCTGTCTGAAAGACCACTAGAGCAATATGAGTACAAACAAATACATTAAATCACTATAAAAGCTTTGACGATATCTCTCTAGGTGATTTCATCAGTCAATACACGCACACATAAACACCATATCGCATCTCTCTTACAATTAAAGGAGCTCTTAATGGTCGACTGTAGGGAACTGGAAATTAGGACTCATTTTGAGATCTCTTTAACTTGCCATTCACCATTCAGTAGCAACTTGTGAAATAAATGAATCAATGAATGAGTGACACATATGCACTACGACAAATAGAAAGTTCACCTCATCTTAATGCCAAGCATCAACACTAGCCACACATACCAGACATAATTATGGGGATGGCGGTGGGGGTTCACATCTACTTTTATCTAAAACTCCATATCCCACTGTCCAGGGCAAACTATACATACTAGGAGTACACCATTTAAATCTGAACATACAGTGTTTACACTCTTATAAAGAATAGATATTCAGCCACTAATTTGAAATGAATATTCATGGTCATAGGGCTGGAGCGATAGCACAGCAGGTAGGGCGTTCGCCTTACAAGTGGCCAACATGGCCGACCCGAGTTCGATTCCTCCGCCCCTCTCGGAGAGCCCGGCAAGCTACCGAGAGTATTCGATATGCCAGACACAGTAATAACAAAGTCTCCAATGGAGACGTTACTGGGCCCGCTAGAGCAAATGAACGATCAATGGGAGGGCCTTTACCTTTTACCTTTATTCATGGTCATTAGGGCACTGAAAGAAGAAGTGTAGAGTTATAAAACGTGCGTGCTCTGATATTCTTTTTCTTTTAACTCTTTTTGTGGGAAGCACACCTAGCAGTGCTCAGGGCTTCTCCTAGCTCTGTACTCAGGGCTTGCTCTTGGCTAGCAGAACTTAGGGAACTATATGCAGTGCCAGAAATCAAACTGGGATTGGCTGTATGCAAGGTAAGCCCTTTTTAAAAAAAAATTTATAAAGAAGTTCACAATATTTGACTACATTTAATATTCAAACACCAATCCCACCATCATTACACCTTCCCAGCACCATATTTCGAGTGTTTCCACCCCGAACCCCAATCCCTGCCCCAAAGCAGAACCAAAATAATATATTTTGTATTGTTTGTTATGAAAAACCACTAAAAATGCTACCAAAAAAAGTATCCTTAGAGGAAAGGGTGTGAAGATTGTTGTATTTCACCCAGGGACCATTAAGCCCTTCTATAAGAGATCACTAGCATGTTGCTAAATGTTGAGCCTTGTGTGCCTTTTAAATATGTAGCACTGTACCGTAGCACTGTCCTCCCGTTGTTCATCAATTTGCTCGAGCTGGCACCAGTAACGTCTCCATTGTGAAACTTGTTGTTATTGTTTTTGGCATATCGAATACATCATGGGGAGGTTGCCAGACTTTGTTGTGTGGGAGAGATACTCTCAGTAGCTTGCTGGGCTTTCCGAGAGGGATGGAGGAATTCAACCTGGGTCGGCTGCGTGCAAGGCAGACATCCTTCCCACTGTGCTATCACTTCAGCCCTTTATATATGTAGAAAAGTAAAAATGTTTGTTTTCTAAGATTGCTTAGGCAAGCACTTTAACCCTTGTACTATGTCTCCAAATCCTAAATCCTGATCTTATGTGCTTGAAATGCTTGTGGCTTAACAGGAAAAGAAAACAGAGACAGCCAAAACAGTGAGAACACAAGACATCATGGTCAATGCCAGATGAAAAGCAGGAATTGCATTGTTCAGAAGAATTAAGAGATCAAAGAAATGTCAGAAACTAGGGTGAATGCGAGATTAACTGTGGGAAAGTGATGCTTCGCGTTGCTTTTTGAAAAGAAAGCTTCCAATTGTCAGAAGAGATTGGAAGGGCAGAGCCCAGGAAAATCCCAGATTTCAGAAAAGGAACAAAATTCTTATCATTATTTCATTATAACAAGTTTTAAAGAGAAAAGAATGTTAAAAAAAATTTAACAAAGAAGAAAGTACCACTCTCAAATTCCTTGTGAAAAGTCTCCTAGAACTATAAAATTAATGATTAGTGTTAAGTCAATACATAGCACTTCTGCATTTGCCACTTAGCTGCAAATGATAGGGTATTGCTCAGAGGTACCCTGAGCTGAATGTGTCTGCTCAGTTTATGGTGAAAGTGAATTTCTCAGGTGATCTCAATCAAACTCTAACCAGAAAGTACAAGTCATCCTTACTAGCCCAGGCAGCCTTAAGAAACTAAGCAAGCTACTGGAACCTTCCCCTGTGACATCATCACCAGTCTCCCAGAGAGCAAAAGGATATTTGCTATTCAGAATGACTTAGCACTATTTTATTGATTTTAGACCAAGAAAATCAGGAAGAGGACTTCTTCCCACAACAGTCAGATTAACAAAGATGTTCACAACCATAGTTCACTGATTTCTTTAAGGAGAGGAAGTGAGTCATTCGTATCAAATCAAGTTTCTTCTTCTGCAAAGTACAGAACTTGGTGACACACTATGCCTTGAGGCACTGAAATTTTCAAGTCACTAAGGGAAGTCAAGAGTCTTCAATGGTATCATCTATGGAAGGGGAATTCCAACTCATTTCATTTTGTCTTATCTACCAAAAGGTCTTAAAGATCAAGGTGGGTCTTGAATATTCCTATTCTTTCAAGCCACTATCTTTCCTGGATTTGTCCTAGAAAATAACTGAAGAATAAGGAAAGGTACATACCTGAAAAATTGGACAAGGGAGGAATATTGCTGGAAAAATCAGAATTAAGGAAGCTCACAGAGGAGTTGGAGTGTAGAGATTAAGGTGCTTGCCTAGCTTGCAGTTGACCCCCGTCCCTAGCTTCTGCAACACATGGTCTTCAGAGCATTTCCAGTGCAGTCCTGGAGTCCCCCCAAGCATCATCAAGGTTGGCCTTGGTACTGGATAATCCTTAGCACCCTCGCCTGCATGGCATCCTCAAGCCCCAAGCTGAGAATATCTGGGAGGGACTCCAGGACCTTCTCAGCACCACTTAACAGCTTAATCCCCCCAATAAAAATAATGGATGTTCATTAAGCAAAGGTGGATTTCATGTCCTGAATTAGACATGTTTACTACAAAGCCATGTGTGACACATATTTCTAGTAAGTTAAAAATAATTACGTTGATCCAGAGAGGGGTATAAGGAATGGGTTTATTTTTCCATCCTATCATTCGATTTAAGCTCTTACCGTATTATGAGGAGCTCCACCCAGACGCGTACAAAAGCTGGTAATGGGCCAAAGACTTCCAGAATATACGTGTAATGACCACCAGATTTTTTAATACTGGTTCCCAATTCAGCATAAGACAAGGCTCCTGTGAAATGTTTGTAATGCAAGGAGACAGTGAGAATATAACAATATAACAAACTCATCAGGCAGTAAAATTGACAGAAAGATGTTTGCACTGCATGAAAGGGGCTACATCAAGAGCGGCGTCAACACCTTATTTCAAGATGACTAATGGTCATCTAGTTGCCCAGAGCCACCAAACTCACCCTGTAACTTCCTCGATTTAATATTTAATTTTATGCAATCAACATAAGTTCAACTGAGAGAGTAAAGACAAACGTTGTTTAAAACAATATATTATTGATGAGTTTGAATCTCAAACACAGACCAAGGAAAGTAAAGCAGACAGATTCTAATAAAGCCAGATATCATTATTAACCCATTTTTAGAACATACCTTCACACCAAGATGAGGAATTAAACCAATCTGATTTCATCTTATTATATTAAGAATCTCTCTAAGAAATGATAGTTTTGGGATACACCAAAAAAAAAAAAAGTAACACATATCTCTTTCCCCTGAATAGTGTGGATGCTAGACTTTACAAAATTCATTTAATTTTTAGGATGTTCTGCTGTCAACAAAATAAACTATGACTTGGGTATTCTATCTTAGAAAAGGTTTTCTTTGATGTTTTTGAAGTGCGGTGCTCTGTGTGGTTGAAAGAACCACACAGAAAGATGCTATTATATTTATGTGTATTAGCAAACTCAATTATAAAACAAAACTTTTGTAATTCAGTAATTTGGGTCACATAAACTTAAACAAGGTTTGTAACTTCCCCAAACTCAATTCTCATCTAATAAAGTTAAATATATAAATGTGATCATAGATTCCAGTTTAGAAATAGGTTTTGTTCATTAAATATGGTTATGCTATTAATATGAGTAATTAAATACTGAGAATAAAAAATGTATTGCGAGAAGTTCTAACATAGTCTAAGTGCTCAAAAGTAATACACAATTTTCCCCCGAGCTACTTCAACTTGAAAAATGATCACTCATCAGTAAGGCTCTGGGTAGAACTGTCCAGCATGAATATAATCCAGAAATTCAGTGAAATCTTGGTTTTGTTTATTTACCCCATTATCAGAATCACTGAGAAGATTATTACATTTTAAAACAATCAAATTAAAAACAGACTCTAAGGGCAACCCCAGACACCCTCACACTTACCCAAGAGGGTCTAGATGCTAATAACAGGATTTGAGAAAACTTACGACTTTAACATAAACTGAAGTGATTCTCAAATAATGCCCACAGATGTGACATTTGGAAACCACTGAGAGAGTCTGCCTACTTATGACTAATTGTAACTAATTGTAATCACTCTCTAAAGGAGACCTGCCATGCGATAGGGTTATATGGAAGAACATCCAATATAAAATGTTATTGAAAAGTACTGCCGAATTTATTGCCAACAAATCGATACTTAGACCTGTGTATGCTTTGTTTAAACTCCAGGATGGTTGCCCCAGGTTTAAATTGAGTTCTGGAGGAATGAGGTTCATTTAAAGGTCTCCAGCTCTATACCTATTTTACTCCAATGAAAAAAGTTCAAAACTGGATGTAAAAGAAAAAAAATCTATGTATCGACCCGGACTATAAAAAACAATTGTAAAACAAATATACAGATTCTTTACTCTTTACTTCAGAGTTGAGTTTTAAGAGAAGGGAATTTTCTTCCTTTTTCATTTTGCTTTGCTTCCTAATGGGAAGCACTCTTTCAAAAACCTCAAGATAGTACAGTGGTCAGGGTGCATGACAGGCCTGGGCTCAATTCTTGGCACCACATGATCCCCCAAGCATCTTGGGTACAGCCATGAGGGGCCCTTAGGACTGCCAGTATTACTCTAGTAGTCTCCAATCCAGGAGGACATCTTCCTAAATAGTATAGCCACTAGATGGCCAAAAATCTTAGGTTGGTCCCCAGGCTTCCTGATCTTTACTTGGGAGCACCCCAACCTTCCAAATCAAGAACACCAACTCAACTTAGCTAGTTCCTCTCACCTTTTCTGCATTCTTTTCTTGATGATAGGTTTATACAGAACTAACGTTTCAGATAACATGTCCACATCCCTTGTTCAATGCTCAGAGGGACCCGTTTCATGATGTCATCATAATCTTGACTCAGATGGCCATATAGCTGCTGCACTCAGACCAGGACGCAAGGTCGGGAAACTGGTTCCCGCTTTTCCTACCAGACACTCATTTTTTCTGAACAGACCAAGTGTTAAAGATTCAAAGCTGAGCCCGCATGGTCATTAAAACAAACTATTCATTTGCTCTTTCTCTGTAGATGGACATGTCAGGACATAGAGAACATCACTAATTCTTTTGAAAACCCTAAAAGCAACTCTAAAGATCTTTCTTGAATAAGGATTCTTAAGGCAGATTCTTTTTCTAATGCCTTCTTCCAAATAATGGAAATTTAGATGCTCTAGAAATAGGCTCAGGCCCAGACCCTAAAACTCATGACATTTGAATGGGCCCAAATGCCACAGAGTAAGTGAGTCTCATTAAACAACAGTGTCTTTTGGAATTAAAACCCACTATTTGCAGCAAAGATCAAATATATAAGAACCATTCACTCCAAGGCATCAATAAAATTCACCCCCCCCTTTTTTTAATAACAATTCACCAGTTTTAATCACTTGGACAAGTCAGGTAGGTTTCTAACAGTTTGACTTTCCTGAAGGAATTTGCCTCCTTTTCTATGAGGAATCAAATCACTAGACTCTCGGAAGCAAACAAAAATCCACAATCCCACTTCATCTCCCCATTTTGTGCAGCTGAACTCAAGGAATGTGGGAACAGATTCTCTGTGTCCCTGGAGACCCGAAGAGCTGGAGGTGAAGAAAACAGCTCTGAGCCAGCCGGGGCCAACTCACGCCCAGGCCCGGTGTTAATGGTCTCTTGGTGCCAAAATTTAGAGGCACCGGGGAGAGATGAAAGAATGGAAACATCTGAAAAATGTTCAGCCCCTTGTGGTCTCAGGAACATTCAGGGGCATCCCCAGTCCTCTTCACATCAAAGACTTTCGGAGGACACCAGGGACGGGCCTGCACCAGAGCAAAATCTAGGAAGGAAAAGTCTGCCCCCAGCTGGGGTTGCCAGTCACCGGCCAGTGAAACCTTGACTGTCCCTTGATTAGAGCTGTGGGCACTCAGTGGCCTGTAGTCGCCTGCAGCATATGCCAGCTGCCAGGGCGCCCCAGCAGCTGCCGCAGGTGCCTGTGTCCACACCCAAGGGTTCGCCGGTGTGTTACACCGGGTCATCTGAGTCAGCCAGAGAACAGCCTGCTGGAAAGAATTCAGCACCCCCTGCCGTGGATACAGGGTTTGCGGGGCGCCTGCACCCCAAATGCACAAAAGATCAGCCGGTAAGCTGAGGAATGTGCTCACTCCTTGGCTTGGCTGGAGCCAACCCCCCTCTCCTCGCCTCCCAGTCGCCCACCCCGGCCCAGGCCACACTCACCAAACAGGGACAGCAGCCCACACAGCGCCCACACGGTGAGGGACAGGCCCACGCTGCCCGTGTTCTGCAGCACGCCCCGGGGGGAGATGAAGATGCCCGCGCCGATGATGGTCCCGATGATGATGGACACCCCCCGCAGCAGCGTGATCTTCTTCTTCAGGGCCACGGCGGGTGGCCCCCCATTCGCACTGCCCCCCAGGAGCCTGCCCTGGGCCAGGCTGGGCTTCCTGACCATGCTCCCCACAAACCCCCACGCCCCTTCCCCAAACTTCAATGCTGGACTCTGCTCCTGAGACCGACTGGTCTCTTGCTGGGACCTTCAGGTGATGTCTTGCAGGCAAGAGAAAAACTCAGACGGGTAAAAGTTTGCTCCTTGCCTGCTCAGTGATCAGTGCTGAGAAACACCTGTGTGGGCATGGTGCTCCCGTCCTCCTCGTCCTCCTCCTCCTCCTCGTCCTCCTCCTCCTCCACCTCCTCCTACTCCTCCTCCTTCTCCTCCTCCTCCTACTACTCCTCCTCCTCCAACCTCTGTTGCCGCAGCTGAGTCTCTGCTGTCATTAGAGACCAGGCAGCCTCCTCGTGGGCTTGTGTTTAAGTTCCTGCCTGTCACACCAACTTATTCCAGCTAAATGATGATGCAAATTCTCCAGGTTTGCATCAGCCGCAGAAGGCTCCAGCATTACTCAGCTTTTTTTCCCCCCTCTCTCTCGCTCTCTCTCTCTTTTTTATAACAGTAGCTGCATGTTGCTCAACTGCCCGAGCTTTGCAGAGAACAAAGCCCACACTTAAAAAAGGATCTGAACCAATCCACAAGTAGGAAATTTGGAACAGACTTTCCCAGGGCTTGAAAGCAGCTCCTGGCCAGGGACAAAAGCTCTTGAGCGAAAAGAAAATGTAAAATGAAACAGGAAATGATCGCCGCCCTGTAAGTAGTTTCTCTTCTCTTTGATGCACGTCTGTGCCCGTGACACACTGTTTTGATCAGAGAACCTCACCCGACGACGACGCTGCACTGTTCCTCGTGACAGTCAAATTTTTGATTATGTTTCCTGTGTATTTTCAGGAGGGTCAGGGGTGTTTCCTAGCAACACAGTCAAATCTAATATTTACGAAGCTGGAAAGGCTCGCCGCAGTGTAGATATGTGTAACGTAGATCAGGTAAGCGTGTGAGACTGACTCAGCATTAAAGGATAAAAGTTGCTTCTTCCTGTCCATGACCAATTGGCTTCGAAAAGCACCATCAGTGTGTGACAGATGACAAAATCCAGTGACTCTGGTAACGAATCATTTTGTGATTCTCATCAGCACTAAGTTACTACCTCCTGACATGAAGTCAAAGTCTGCATTCTTCATTTGCAAGAGATTCCATCCAACTGTCCCCGAAAGACAAATTTCAAACTAAAACAATAAACGCAATGACATTAACTAGGCGTGAAGCTAATGCTTAAAAAGGTATAGACAGCATGATCGGAGAAAGTGATGCTATGTATGTTCTCCTAACATGAATGAACTATGAAGTCGTGATTATAACTGTGATGAATTAGAAGAGCAAGCTAAGAATACAATGTTTACTTTGAAACAGGAAGAAGGAAAAGGTTTTCTTGGGATAACCTCAGCGTAACACACTGGATGTGTTTTAGGGGGACAGGAGTACAGGGTTCACTTCTCTTCAAAGGTGTGTCATATCACACCTACCCCCAAAGCACCAACATTCCTCAATCCTAGCCCATTAGAGCTTCCCCCTGGAGTTGCTTCACCCTCTGTTAACCTCTTCTCTGCAGCCAGGCCAAAACTTTATTTTGGCTTGCTTTTTACCATTCCTTTGCTCTATCTTTCGTTTTAATATAATTATATATTCATCAGAGATATTAAATCATCTGATAAATGCAAAATCATTTTAAACCCCACATCCATTTCAACCCCAGTGTTCATATAGCAAATATCCAAAGCAAAGAAATCTTGGATAGCATGCTGGAGACAGGTGGTTTGGGCGCCGTAAAAAGAACGGACATTATCACAATTCTAGAGCTACAAAAACAAAACCAACTCATTATGTTCCTGAACTTTTGAACACACACACACACACAATAGACAAAAAATTTAAGTGTGAGTGTTAGGGATGGGAAAGGTTCCAGATGATACTAGAAAGAACTAGAAAGGTATGTAGGAAGGTCAGAACCATGTTCTGTTATGTTGGCTCATCAAAAAAATGACAGTAGTCACAAGTCTGTCATGTCAACTCATTTCCTCTTACCTAAAACCCGCAGAATCTGTATTTACATATAGCGAATCAGCATATCTATCCAGTCAAAATATTCCCAAATGCTGCGTCTTTCCCAAAATAAGAATGGATAATTTTCCTCACACTTTTTGAGAAGCCAAAATGAAAGAAATCAAAGGGAGATTTTCCTTCTATCTCTTCTCTTCCTACATTCCTATTATACAGACAAACCTTAGGATCAGTGCACCTGACGGAGAGAAGAGCCCTTAAATCCCCAAAATGCAAAGAGGTGAGTTATGTAAAACCAGAAGTGACTGGGCACGGCAATAGTGCAGTGGGGAAGGAGTTTGCCTTGCACAGAGTGGATCCAGGTTTGATTCCAGCACCACATATGGTCCTTTGATCCACACCAGGAATGATCCCTGAGCACAGAGCCAGAAGTAAAACCTGAACACTGCCAGGTGAGACTCCCCCTCCCAAAAAAAAAAAAAAACAAACAAACAAAAATGTAGAACATCAAGGTTCCAGGGTCCAACTTTCTGTCTCTAAATGGCACAGAGACATGCCACAATTTACCTGTGTCCTAATGAATGTAGAGAAAGACCCACCCAGGCTATAAGATAGATACATTTTAAGGCGGTTTTAAAAAATGTGATTTCAATATTAAATAACAGTTTCCTTCTTTGCAGTATTTAAAAGCATATACTGTGAGAAGAAGTTGTTGAGGTTCGATTATAAGCCAAAAGAATTTTGTCTTTATATCAAGGAACGTGACCCCACTCAGCAATTGTGCAAAGCTGCAATTACCAAAGACGATTCCTCTGTCCAGAATGTTTTACTTTTTTATTTTTGTAGGTTGTAAAGAAAATATAGTTATCCTCCATGTCAACAAACCCTTTAACCAACATTCTCAAACTTATATACTAAGAATTCAGATTGTCTTCCAATATATGCATGTCATAAAAATGACTTCCTGGAAAATGCATTTATTATATAATTCCTCCGATGTTAGGCCTAATTTTAATCCTCTCCAGTTAGGAGACGATTCTAGTGCCGCTTAGAAATATTGTTTTAGCACTCACTGTGTACTAGGACAAGCCCCAGTTCATGGAGAGTGTCTCATGAAAAAAACAGATGTGATGCATAATTGCCTCTGGAAATTGTTTGCCTCATTATCATAATGAATTTTAAAATATAATTTAAAAGAAATTTCTGAAATATAAATTTTACAAAAATCAGCTTGACCAAAAATACACATTATGTCTTTAGACAGGAAGACTGAAATCACAAAGATGTCAATTTATTGTATATTCATAAATACGGTCCATATGAAAATTTTAAGAATTAGTTTGATGCTTTACTTTTAAACTAGGAAAAGTGTTTCTGCAGTTATCCAAGAACACTGTTTTTGAATTCTGAAATGAAAACATTTCAGGAATATTAGAATTTCAAAATATATTGCAACGCTTTACGATGTAAAACTCTATGGCTTCATAAATTAAAAACAGACTAATAGAACAGAAGACAAAGCCCATAAAGTGACCCATGCATGGTTTTCCAAAATGATAAGAGTGTCATTTCAACTAGGGGAGGACTATTCAATAATGATGTAGGAAATCTATAATCATTTAGAAATACATGAAGTTGAATCAATTTTACACACCACACAACAAGAATACAATCCTAAAAGATAAACATGAAAATGAAACCAAAAACCTCCAATAATGAAACATTACATAGTTATTTTAGAACATGAAAGTACAAAAGGCTTAGTGAACAGCTACAGTTCAGAAGCCACAAGAAATAATAACTTTAAAAAGAGCTAAGTTTTAAAATCCATGTGACAAGAAATATATGAAGTCCCCAAATAAAATGTGAATGAAGTATTTATATCATAGTCAAACATCTAGTCTTGTCTGGGGAGAGGACTTGGACATTAGGGCTCATTTCTTGAGTGCACAAAACACAAGTTCAATTCCTAGCACTGCATGGTCCCTCATGTGGGAATCACCCGGCCTGGCATAGAACCATTCAGTTCAATGGCCAAGCACTTCTGGGAGTTAACTCTTGGTCACTGGAACACTGCTTGACAGCACCTAAAAATTATCTGATCTCTTAAATACAGTGATTTCAAATAATAGGAAAAAAGAAAACCAAAACAAAGACTATTAAAAACCACAGGGAAAAAATTTAAACAGCATGTATATGTCTGATTATGTAGAGACAAAAATGAAGAAACTATAGAACATGTAAACTTACAGATGAGTATTATATAGTATTAAGTAAAATCCAGTCCCTAAAGTCACTTAATCTGAAACATTTTTAAGAAGTTCAAAAACAAACAAAACACACACACACACATGCTTCTTACAAGACAAGAAAATGATAAGCATTTTAAATTTTGGAATTATGAATTGCCAAGGTATGTAGAGGACTTCAGAGTTTATGGATACCGATTACCTTAGTCATAAACAAAAAGGTAAATAAAGATGTGGCTAATGAACTAATAATTATTTCACATCAAAATTAACCCAGGTATCGAAGGAACATAATTACTTATTCCTGAGACCCTAAAGAAAATAATCAGAAGTAATTTTACCTTTTGGTCACACAGTAACAAACCTTAGTCAAGCTACTGTACACAGTGAAATGAACAAAGTTGGCATTTCACCCCGAGTGGCGTTGACAAATATTTAAGATGAATAACATCTACATTGTTGATGAGTAAACTGGAAGAGAAACTTAAATATTGACCCAAGAGTATAAATTTACACAATACATTTAGAGAACAACTCAGAAGTGTCTAGAAAAGTTAACATTATACTTGCTCCAGGACTTATAGCTTTCACTCCCAGAAATCTGTCTTAAAGAAATGTCCAAACAAGTACTCCAAGGAGACAAGCCCCAGAACTTTACCCTGCAGTAATGTCTTTAACAGCAAAAGTGGGGGGGCTTGCAAACTATTTATCAGCCAGAAACAGCTAAACAGGGATCCATTCCATTCAACGTGCAAT